TCAGGAGCAGAAAACCTCATCTTTCTTTACTAGATCAACTGGCAGTTTTGAACCATGGACCTTGTGGGTATCAGATGAGCTCACATGTATGCCCTTTCTACTATAAAATGCCAGAGTGCCTGCTAGCTTTTGCCTTCATTGGAACTCGCAGTCAACAGTGTCCTTGTAGATTTGATGGAAGAGGCATAGGAGTTGCTCATAGGACCTGGATTCATTGACATCATGACTACAATCTAGACAACTTACCAAACTTCCCCGACTCTCTGTTTGTGCATACAGTGAGTGGAGTTTCAATAAAAGACCTACTCAGAGAAGCGTCCAGCTGATATGAAGTGAGGGGATATGCACAAGGGCACCCAAACTTATAGATAGTGCCCATTGGACCTAGCTTCAAGGGCTACATGTTCAGAACCCAACTAGAGGAAAGAAACGAGGGAAAAAGTTTTTTTGTTTCTTTTGTTTTTTTTTTTTTTTAAAGAAAATAAGTGTAAATCACTACAGTCTGATGAACTTGATCTATACTTATGGATGTAGTAGCTTAAAACACCAACCAAGAGGGAAAGAATCCTTACAGAAAGGATAGTTCCCATCTCCTCTGTACACAGTCTTGATAGGGATAGGCAACTTAGACATCGGTTACCTAAAACGTGGGTGGGGCGGGGGATTGGCTGTAAAGGCATGAAGTGACTGGCTTACAAGTCTTCAAGAGGGAGTTTAGATTCAGACTGTGTGAGGGAAGGTAGAATCCCCACTGAGTGGTTTTCATCCTGTCTAGACAGGTGTGGTGAAAGGAGATGGGGACAAGACTCTCATGAGTTAATAGGGAGTAATTGTTATGACTAATTGTGATTCTCACAACTATAAAGGTAGAAGTTTTGTAGCAAAAAGGGATGAGTGGTTGATCTTACAGTCCCAGAGCAGAGGACCCTGGGGCCATCAAAAGAGAAGAGTGAGAGTGGAGTGTGGGACCCTACCTAGGGAAGCAGTGACACCAGAGATGGAGGCAGAGGTAATGACATGGAGAGATGGAGCAACTCTAGACTCATGGAGAGAGAGAGACTATGTGCTGGTGGTCAGGGAGCAGGTTTGCAAGGTGTGCCCTTTGGCCGTTTGAATGATTGTATATTCCTGAGTGTTTTGATGCACATTAAAAAAAAAAAAAAAGTCTTTAAGGAGCAGAAAGCTTCATTTTTAAACAGTGGAACTGCTGGTAGCTTCAAGCTGTTGACCTTGAGGTTGGCAGCCCAACTCGTAACCACTACACTACCAGATCTCCTTGGTTATTGATGGTACACGGAAGGAATTGCAATCATTGCAATGAAACAAAATATGATTTATTGAATGTAAAACTGATAATCTGCCCTGTACACTTCACTCAATTCACAATAAACACATTAAAAGAAAAGAAAAAAGAAAAGAAAAGAAAAAAGATCTACTCAGATTTTAGAAATAACAACTTGTGATGTTAAAGGTTGTGTGCTGACTTGACTGAACTTGAATTGGCAGTAGTTTGGAAGTTATGATAAGTCTTCTCCCATGATGAGATTCCACCACTCATCTGTCAGTTTGTCATATTGTGGTGGTTTGTGTTTTGCTGTGAAGCTGGAAGCGATGCACCATATTTTAAATACCCACATAGTCACCCATGGTGGACAGGTTTCAGTAGGGCTTCTAGATTAAGTCAGACTAGAAAAAAAGAAAGACCAACCACTTTTGAAGGATTAACCACCTTAGGAGTAGCAGCATAGCATTGTCTGATACAGTGCTGGGAAATGAGCTTCTCAGATTGAAAGGTACTCAAAATCCGACTGAGGAAAAAGCTGTCTCCTCAAAGTAGAGTTGACTCAAATGATGTAGAAGGAGTTAACCTTTTGGAACCTTGCTTTGCTGATGTGGCATGTTTCAAAATGAGAAGAAACAGCTGCAAACATCCATTAATAGTCAGAATGCAGAATGTACAAAGCATGAATCTAGGAAAATTGGAAGTTGCAAAAGATAAAAAAAAAGAACACATGAAATTGATTTGCTAGGCATTAATGAGTTGAAGTGAGTTTGGTCCAGGATTGGGCAGTGTTTCGTTCCGCTGTGCATAAGGTCGCTACAGGTTGGTACCGACTCGATGGCACCTAACAACAGCAATGAGCTGAAGTGGACTGTTGGTAGCCATTTTGAGTCAAGTCATCACATGGTTCACTATGCCAGGAATGACAAATACAAGACACATGAGTTGAATTCATCTTATAAAAGAAAATGCCAGTGCTATCTATGATAGGATAATATACATACAACCACAAGGAAGACCAGCCAATACCATTATGATTCAAATGTACCCACTAGCTATTAAAGCCAGTGATGGTGAACTTGAAGAATTCTACCAATTTCTTCATTCTCACTTTATCAAACATGCAATCAAAACGCATTGATAATTACAGATTTGTTGTTGTTGTTGTTGTTAAGTGCCGTGGAGTCGGTTCCGACTCATTATGAGAATGCAAAAGCTGAATGCATTCAGGAAGGATGCATAGTTGGAAGATATGGCCTTATTGAAATAAACAATGCTACAGATTCCATTATAGAATTTTCCAAGACAATGATTTATGTATTGCAAATATGCTTTTTCTACAACATAAAAGGTGACTGATGATACACTTACACCTCAACAGATGGAATACACAGGAGCCACATTAACTACATTTGTGGGAAGAGATAATATCATCAGCCAAAATAAGGTCAGAGGCTAACTGTGGAACAGACCATCAATTACTCATTTTCAAGTTAATGACGAAGCTGAAGAAAATTAGAACAACACGATGAAAGCCAAAATAAGACCTTGAGTATATCCCACCTAAACTTAGAGATCACCTCGAAAACAAATTTGATATATTAGACAGTAATGATAAAGGCCAGAAGAGTTAATGGAGTGACATAAAACCATCACACATGAGGAAAGATCAACATGGATATCAGAAGAGACTCTGAAACTTGCTCTTGAATGTAGAGAAGCTAAAGTGACCGGGAAAAATGATGAACTAAAAGTACTAAACAGAACATTTCAAAAGGCAGCTCAAGAAGACAAAGTCAAGTATCATAATGAAATGTGTAAATACCTGGAATTGGGAAAACAAAAGGGAAGAACAGGTGCAGCATTTCTCAAGCTCTAATAACAGGAATAAATCCAAACCTTGATTTGCAATATTAAAGGATTGCATTGTGCATAAGTGTGGAACTGAGTAGATAGTACCTCAAAACAACATGGGCAAAATATCAGTGATGTTAGTAATATCAAAAGAAGATGGAAGGAATACATAGAATAACTGTAGCAATATGAATTGATCAGTGTTTAGTCATTTGAAAAAATATCATATGATCAAGAACGTTTGGTACTGAAGGAAGAAATCCAAGCTTTACTTTAGGCATTGGCAATAACCAGGCTCTATGAATTGACATAACACAAATTGAAATGTTTCAAAACTGACCCAGCACTGGAAGCACTCACACATCTCTGTCAAGATATTTGGAAGACAAGTTACCTGACCAACTAACTGGAAGAGATCCATATCTGTGCCCATTGCAAAGCAAGGTGACCTAATGGAATGGAGATATTAAACAATATCATTAATATCAAATGCAAGTAAAAGTTTGTTGAAGATAATTTTTAAAAAATATATGCAGCAGTACATAGACAAGGAAGTGTCATAAATTCAAGCAGTATTCAGAAGAGGGAATGGAAAGAGGGATATCATTGCTAACATCAAATGGATCTTGGTTGAACATAGAGAATAGAAGAAAAGTGTTTACTTGTCCTTTATTGACTATGCAAGACTTTGGATTGTGTGGATTATAACAAACTATGGATAACATTGCAAAGAATGGGTGTCCAAGAATACTTAATTTTGGTCATAAAAAACCTGTACATATACTAAGGCAGGCCTTACAACAGAACAAGAGTCTACTGAATGGTTTAAAATCAGTAAAGGAGTATATCTTTTCACCATATTCACTCAATCTTTATGCTGAGCAAATATACTGAGAAACTGGATTATAAGAAGAAGAATGTGGCATCAGGATTGGAGGAAGACACGTTAACAACCTGTAATACGTAGATAACACAACCTTACCTTCTGGAAGCAGAGAGGACTTGAAATACTTACTGATGAAGAATAAAGACTGTATCTTTCTGTATGGATCTCATTTCAATGTAAAGAAAATGAAAATCTTGTCTACAGGATTAATAAGTAACATCATAAAAAATGGAGAAAAGGTTGAACTAGTTTTAGTACTCAATTTGTTTGGATTCACAATCAATGCTCATGGAAGCGACAATCAAGGAATGAAGCATCATATTGCATTAGGCAAATCTGTTGCAAAAGACCTCTAAGTTGTGTTCAGCAGCAAAGATGTCAGTTTGAGGGCTAAGGTGCATCTGAACCAAACCATGGTATATGTTTGTGAAAATCAGACATTGAATAAGGAAGCCCATAGAAGAACCGATGCATCTGAATTATGGTGTTGGTGAAGAATATTGAACGTACCCTGTACTGCCAGAGAAATAAACAAAACTGTCATGGAAGAAGTAAAGCTAGAATGCTCTTTAGAGTTGAGAATGGTGAAACTTCATCTCTCATACTTTGGACATATTATTAGGAGGGACCAGTCCCTGGAGAATGACATCATGCTTGAAAAGTAGAGGGTCAAAGAATAAGAGGAAGACCCCCAACAAGATGATTGGCTGAACGACAGTTGTGAGGATGGTGCAGACTGGGCAGTGTTTCATTCTGTTATGCATAGAGTTGTTATGAGTTGGAACAACAGCAACACAACATCATGCGATTGGGTATCATGTCATCATCTTCACAGTGGTGTCATCTGACTCACAGGCTTTCTGAAAGCCTCTACAACTCCCATGAGACCTTCTATGCTGTTGGTGGTGGTGGGAAGTGCTGTCAAATGGATTCTGACTCAGCAACATTGTGTAGGATTTCCAAGGAGTGACAGGTGACTTTGAACCCATCAACCTTTTGGTTCAACCTGAGCTTGTGGTCCAGTGGTTATTTATGGCGACACTTTAAGCAGACAGTAATTTGACGGAGTTTTCTCAGAGGTGGGGCCTGTTCCTAATGTACAGGGATATTATGACAAAGCTCTTTTGTTTTTTGTTGGATCTGGATTCTGCATTTGGCTTGTCATAGTCTGACTCCCAGCATTTTGGACTTGAGCCATGAGCATGGTATGTTGGCTGCCAGTCCTGGAAGACTTTAGTGTCTGTTAGTCAGAAGCCTGCCATCTGACCTGCCAACATTGGATTTGTTTGCCTGCACAGCCAGTAGCCTGCCTTCTGACTTGCCAATCTTGGCTTTGTCAGTCCCTGCAGCTATGTGAATCAGGGGAAGCCTCCACCCTGACATCAAATCCAGGAATTTGAAACTTGTCAACCTCTGCAGCCATAAATGTCATTTCCTTAGCTCAAGCTAGGGTTATGTATGGTTTACTGATTTTACCTCTTTAGAGAATTAAGTCTAAAAAAGATTAAAGATCAATGCATATTATTTTTCTTTCTAATTTTTGTGCTCTTGTTGAGAATCTTCAACCCTACAGAGATGTTGTAAGAATAAATACTACATTGAACATCACTATATTTTTGTTTTTGTTGCTGTTGTTTTTGTGTGCTGTTGAGTCAGGTCTGACTCACAGAAGTCCTATGTAAGGTTTCTGAGAGCAGTGGGCGTATTTAAATTGCAGACCTTGAGGTCAGCTTCCTAGTGCTTACCCTACAGCGCCGTGTTTCCTTTACCAATGCTAATACTTGGTATCCTATGCTTCATTTCTCTCTTCACACATATACACACAAGCACATACCCACATTCACCTGAACTCTTTCTATGTAAATTGAAGATCCTCTAACATTTCACCTCTAAATATACCTTCATGTCATTTCCTAAGAATAAGAATATTTTCCTACATGACCACACAATCATTACATACTCACAAAGTTCAACATTAACTAATATTAAATAACACAGAGTTCTTGTGTGAAGAGGCCATAAGGAAGAGAAAAAAAGAACTAAAGGGTGGTAAAAGGCTTGCATTATTCATGAATATGTCATAAAATTGATTAATTTTATATTTTAATTAATGTTTATAGACAATTAGAACTATGAATTTTTACAGCTGTACAATTTATTGATGGCAATTACAATAATTGGCTTGCAATCATACTCTTAATCAATGTAATAGATAATTGTGAACATTTTAAGGGGAACAAAAAGAAGATTAGAAATAGTACATGCAGTATAGAAACAACCAAGTGGAATTAACAAAACAAAGAAAATTTTCCCAATAAGAAATTTTGCTCATCAAATGATACCATGAGGAAAGCAAAAAGACAGCCTAGAAAAGGGGAAAATGTAATTGCCAAATTTAAAAAAACAATCTAACAAAGCGTTGTCATTGGTGGTGGTTGTGTGTTATCAATTTGTGCATGCAGAGTATCTGAGGCTGTAAATCTTTACAGGAGCAGAAAGCCTCATCTTTCTCCTGTGGAGTGGCTTGTGGATTCAAACTGCTGGCCTTGCAGTTAGCAATCCAGAGAATAATTCACTATATTACCAGAGCTACTAAGAAAATGTTAGCATTCAGAATATATTTTTAAAAAAATCTTATCTAATAATAAAAAGAAATAAATAGTTCAAGAGAAATTTAGTCAAATGACTTCAATGGACAATTTGCAGAAGAGGATATACAAATGACCAATAAGCATATGTAAAAGGATTCGGCTTCATTACTGCATCAGAGAAATTTAAATTAAAACTGCAATAACAGTAGTACTCCATATCCATGTAACTGTCGAAAATAAAAAGGGTGGAGAATATTACATTTGGGCATACAAAAGAAGCAATGAAACTCATTCACTGCTTGTGAGGTTTAAATTGGCACACTTTTGAAAAATGGTTTGGCATTATCTAGAAAAGCTAAATATATTCACTGCCTGTATATTTGATATAGCAATTCTACTCTAGGAGTATACCCAATAGAAATGCAGGTATATACTTATATGAGAAATCATTTTAGGATGGTCCATCTTCAAGACTGAGGGGAGTCCAGAGGGTAACAGTCTAGCAAAACAAAAGAAAATCATGGAAGGGGAAGGGACTTGTTTGACTGACTAGAAAGTTTAAAATAAAAACACATCCACCAAGGAAATAGGGGAAGCACATGGGGAAGACGGAAGAAAACTTTAAATGAGAATGCTGTCATCAAAGACATTGAGGGTAGATTGGGAACCCCATAGTACTCAGTAAAGAGGAATTGGGGGAAGGACTTTCTCAACACAGGAGAAGAAAATTCTTTGTGAGCCAGCCATGTCTCGATTCTGCCCACATCTACTGGGTCTGACACCTGATTTTGCAAAATTGAATACACAAGCCTCACTCTTGCTAAAACTAGTACAGATTGGATTTCTTGAGCTTTTGTGGGTAAGCACCCATGATAACACATCAGTGACCTCATATGGGATAAGGCGGTCCACCCCAGTTCTTCTTCCATAAACCCATCCAGGTAAGGGCCTAGTCAGGGGTTTATGTGCCTAGGAGGGGCCAAGAAAGTGTCTGGGGTATCAACGTTTCTCACACTTATACAAAAACTGTTACTAGAATAGTCAGAAAAGCACTATTTGAGGTAGCTAAAACCTGGCAATGCTCATCAATATGGGGATAAATAAATAAATTGTAGTATAGTATGTAATTGAATTGTGTACAACAATAAGAATAAATGATCTACAACTACATGAAAATATGAACAGATAGCATGTTGAGCAAAAACTGATAGACGTGAAACATTCTAAATGCATACAGAATGTTTCCAAGTTGCTAGAATTAAACAGTAACAATTACTTATAGTAATGGTGAGATGCTTTACTCCTATCTAGGTGCTGATTGTAAAGGACTAACTTTCAATTTCTCTTCCCCTCTCTCTCAAAAACCAGCACAGGATAAATATAATGGAAGAAAACATAAATGTTATAGAAATGAAAAGTTATAAAAATTTGAATTCACAAGATAGGGTAAAAGCATTGTGTAGTGAAATTTTAAATCATCAAACGCAAAGAGAAAAATTTAAATGCACACAAAGAATAAGTAGATATTAACAAAGAATACCAATCAGCTCTAAATAAGAATGTTCTACATCAACATTGAATTTAACATGTTGAAATAGTTGTCTTCATAATGAAAGGGGAATGGATTTGTGGCACTTTTTTTTTTCAGATTTGTGCAAGAATTTAATTTTTTCAAAAATAAGAAAAAGATACATAATAAGTTCTCATTTCCTAAATCAGTTTTCTTTCCCCTTCTTTTTGCCTTCCTTTTGCTTCTTAACTGCCTTCCCTGCCAGCCAAGTTAGCTGTGTGTATACTCTACCAGAGTCCTGGTATTCACTGAAGGATCAGCACTGGACCACTGACCACAAAATTGATAGTTCAAACCCACCAGCCACTTCTATACAGCGTCACTCACTGTGAGTCAGAACTAACTTGACAGCAGTTAAACTCAAGAATATACTCTACCCAATGAATAAATCAAATCTACAGATTTTACACAAATTTTATATACAGTTAAACTATCATTTATTTGTGAATATGGTATTTAAAAATAATAGAATTATATACTTTAAATAGGCTATTTTATAGTATGTTATTATTGTCAAGTAATTACACTATAGAAGTACTATAAAAAAGAGTTTCTAGAAAAAGAAAGCTGTATAAAAGTTTCAAGAAAAAACAGGCTCAAAGAAGTCTATAATAAAAAAATTATATTTACAAACAGTTTGGGGGTATTTAAACAAAGAGAAAACAATTCAAGAATAAGAAAAAGAAATATCCATCAAGCTGTCCCAAAAAAAAAATGTTTTTAAGCATGATATATTCACTAATATTAAATGAAATAAGCAATAGAATAAACAAGAGCTGTTGAACATAAAGTAACACAAAAAGCCTGAAAAAAAAAAAAAATAGAAAGAAAAAGATGCATTTGGCAAAGGCTAAAAAGAGTTCTGGAGTGGCACTGCAGGATAAGCACTGGACTGATAACAACAAGGTCAACAGTTCAAACCCACCAGCCCTTCCTCGGCAACCCTATACAGGGTAGTTATGAGTCAGAACTGACCGATGTCACTTAACAATCACACGATCCCTAGCAGAGCAATGGTTACATGCTCAGCTACTAACAAAAGCATCATTGGTTTGTGCCCACCAGCAGCTGTCGGGAGAAAGATGTGACATTCTGTTTCCGTAAAGATCTGCAGCCTTAGAAATCCTGTGGGACCATATTCTACTCTACCCTTTAAGATTGCTATGAGTTGGAAATGACTCAACAGCTACGCATTTGGTTTTAGATATTTTTTTTAGTTTGTCAGTTAAACCATCATGTGAAAAGGAGCATAGAATGTTAGCATTGTCTCAACAACAGTTAAGACATTTTTGTTTGTTTTTGCCTATCAGATGTCTAAAAACATATCCAAAATAGAAACCCTGATTGTTAAACATAGTATTCTGACATGTCAAGTAATGCCAAATCAATCTTTGAGGAATTCAAGTGAAAAATAAAGAGAATTTATTGATTTTTTTCCCTCATAGCCCACATCAAAATATATCAGTAAATCTTATCAGTCATGTCTTCTAAATAAATTTAAACTCCCACAACTTTGCATCATCTCCACCTACTGTACCCATTGGTTCGTGCCACCATGATCGCATGTAAGAGCTTCTAATGAGGTTTCAATGCTCTTCTTCTCTGCTTCGTGCTTCTATAGTATATTCTCATCACAGCCGCAGAGCATCCTTGTTAAGATTGGGTGGATTCATGTCTACCTTTTTACTCAAAATCCTCAGATGTGTTTAATCACACACAAAACAAAAGCCAAAGTCTCTACATTGGGTTATATGTTTCTGTGTAACCAGGATGTCAAAGTCATCTCCTCCTACATTCAGCTTTTCTCATTTGTCTGTCTTCTCAACATACAA